GTGTGTTATTTTGTATTTTAGGTATTTAATTTCCGCTTTTAACTTTTAAGGGCTCTTACAAAATACACATTTCTAACACTCACATCCATTTTCTCAAAGGGTTGTTACAAATTATAGTTTACAAAAGCCCTTATATTCAACACTGAAAATGCAAAGAAAAAGAGCAAAAACAAAATACATTTTTTCTCTATTCGATTTTCGGTTACGGCCATCATCATCATTCAAGCCTTAATGTTCTTTGTGTATTTTTTACTTGTCTTACTGTGAGTATGGCCCTTGATAGAGAATCAAGGGAGAAGAATGGAGGAACATGATTCAAGTAGATTAAAAGGAAGAAATTTAAGAACATAGATTAAAAGAAATGCACAAAGAACCTAGTAGAGAAAAATCAAAAACCCCCCAATTGTTTTTGCATTTTTCTAAATCCAAAACAAGGACTTACTTGGGGGTTGAGTAGTTTGACCTTTGACGGGATTTTGAAGAAAAAAAAAGCCATAAATCTCGCTGCAAATTGCAACCCAAAGCCCCAAAGTTTCGGTCTTGTGTTTATGTGTGTGTGTGTGTGTGACAGAGACAAAGAGAACGAGAGAGAGTAAAAGCCCCTTTGTCTTGGGTTTTATAACACTTGAAACAATAAAATTTTTTATTTTTGAAATTGTCTATTTATAATATTATTAGGATGGAACCCTTCTCTCCCCTTTTAAACCATTTATTTGGTTTTTGAAAAGGAAAAATAAAGAACATACGGTCAAAAGCAATCTTTTTAAGGGACCAAACGGTTTAGTCATGGACCGGTGGACCAGCCGATCCATACATGGGATCAATCGGTCCATCGGTCCATGACCAATACACAAATCCAGCCAGTTGATGATCCCTGATAGGATCAAAAGGGCACCGGTTTTCAGTTCAAACCGGCTATTACGATCCGGTTCTTATAACCTTCATGATTTATGATCTATTAATTTAAGATAAGTTTTTTTGATACTTTACTATTGTTATGGCATGTGAATTGTAGATAAGAAAATGTAGAAGTGAGCTACACAAATTTCAAATTATGTATCTACCTACGCATGTGCAAACACACACACACTCACACACCCATATACTGTACCGACTTATCATGTCCAAATGACATTTTTTGGGGTACACATTTCTAACACTCACATCCGTGTCAGATATGCACATGCATGTCCGTTTCTATGTGACATAGCCCATGACATGGATTGGACCTCTTCTTTTCATTTAGAAATTGGAAAACGCATTGTGAAAATTTACTTCACAGATATTATATCCAATCCATAATTGCATTGACAATTAAGTAGGCCAACAATTACTGAAAAGAAAACTATTCAAGAATGAAGAACTGAAATATTCCCCAAAGAAGGAGTTTATACCTCAAATACTACTCTATCCTTTTCAAGCATCGCAGAGCATCCTCTGCCATTCTCAGTGAGAAAACTAAACAAACCAAGTGATCCATCCTCAGGGAACTCCTCCACTCTTGCCCAACATGCAAAAGAAAAGCCTTTGCTTCCAGGCCAATGCATAGATGTCGTTATTACAATCCCCTACAACAGAGACGACAATTTTCAGCTGAAATTCATCTTTTAAATATAGTAAGAATAGAAAGCCAAATGAACACCTGAATATATGCATGGGAATGTATTCAGATCAATCATTATTAATACAAAAAAATTACAATGCAAACCATCAAGATGAGGAAGAAATACGCACCATATTGTTAATTATCATGTGTTTTCAAGTTTTGGAAATCAATTCATATACAACTTTCTATAGAGGAGAGTGCAAATAGCAGAAGATATGATCAACAAAGAGAAATTCTTGGATTCTCATCCTCATAAAATTATATTAGCAAGCATTAACAGAATGTAAGACATTTCCATAGTAGTAGTTCAGTGTATCGAAGTGCACAAAAACTTGCCTGAGTTCTTAGACTAACATCCTCATAAAACTATATTAGCAAGCATCAACAGAATGTAAGACATTTCCATAGTAGTAGTTCAGTGAGTATAGAAGTGCACAAAACTTGCCTGAGTTGCCTAAGCTCACCAGGGTATGAATCAAGAAATAGGCCTCAAATTAGACTAGAAAAAATGACTACCCTTAGCAACGTGGTAAGTTCAAACTAGCATAAGTGGCAAGAGCGTCATTGCCAACACCATAGACTTCGCCCATGTAAATCCCATATTGCACATGCTTCCATCAGAGCAGCTATCACCGCTCAATGCTCTCTCTCTCTCCCCCTCCCTCCCTCCATCCCTCCCTCCCTCTACTCCAAGTTCTACAAAAACTTTCTATAAAAACCATACATTAGTACCATTGATTTGAGGTAGAATAAAGATCCTGAGATATCACATGTGCCTTGATAATAATCTCATCAGCTATTCACTACCCAATCGGCTCACAACCCTTACCTCTAAAAGTATGACACTTTTATTGGAATACTGCTCCTGCTCAACCAGAGATTCTCCTATTATTGGAATACCTCTAAAATTAGCTAGGTCTCTGCTGCCCCAGACACCCCCACTTCCCAAGTTAGTACAATTTCTAAAGCCATATTCAAGAACCCAACTATCTATTTTCTACCAGATGAAAAAGGAAAGGGTTTTAAAAGGGCAACTTGCAACAAAGTTTACATTAAAAATGGTTAGACAGACCTGAAAAAATGCCCAAGGGATTGGAATAAAGACCACCATATAGAATTACCAAAGGTGATAGGAAAAGGCCAAAACATGGCATTATAAAACTAAAATAAAAATCGCATGAAAATATCTTTTTGAACAGCTCCATTAAGCAACCAATTTTTTGTTCATTTATTTGATCTTTTTAACTATGGGAACACAGTAGGCCCTCAGTTGAATCATAATTTCGAAGGCATTTCGAAAGACATAGGCAAGCTTCAAGGACTCTCCTCCATCTTCAATCAACAAGATTTCTGCTAAACACTGCTCTAAGAAAAATAAACATGTTTTCTGAAGTATGCCAAAAGAACAGAATCTGATTTGCGCATCCCCAAACCACCTGTCCTTTTTTTCATATGCCATCTTCTCTCTGTTTTCATTTCTCATCCCTGGTCTCTACATGTTCTATGGGGTGAAACTTGGTGCCAAACCATAGTTACCGGGAACAAGAACGGGACCGTGAGAAGTTCCGAGAACAGGAATGGGAGCGAGTCTAGCTCAAAGTTCCTTGGGCGGCAGAGCGAGCTCCATACATGGCCTAGGGATGGGAGCAAGTTTGATGACTTCAAGGGAGCACATTGCTAACTGGAGGGGAGCGGGTTACCTACCAAAAGGGATCACGTAGTGCCCTTCTTAGGATAGGGGTTTCTGGAGTTCACTATTTCCGTACATTGTAAACTAGGAGCGATTTCCATAAGATAGCATGTTTAACTCTTTCCAAAACCACGGTTCCAAGGTATCAACGTAATGAAAAATCATCGCATTGAGATTGCCTTTGAATTTTTTATGTCATTGAGCATGATTTCATACTGAATTCAGCAAACAACAGTATTGGGGTGCATTGGAGCATGATTTCATACCCAATTCAATGGAAACCTTATTGTGATCATTGGCACATGATTTCACACCAAATTCAGTAAACAACATATTGTAGTATACAGTGCACCACTACACCTTAATTATACAATACCCTTCTCTACATTGGCACTTGATGCTGGGCAAGATTTACCCTTCTCAAGTCTATATTATTCACACTCAAGGATGGGCTAGATTTCCCATTTCGACTAAGTTTGTAATCGACGCTTGAGCGCATGTATTGTGCTCATGGACGAGCATATTGTGCATTACTCCCTCAGTCAAAAGACTCAAAACACCACACTAGGTTGATTGTTTTAGGCTAAAATTTTGGGAACCATATAGCAATTGCTAAATGATTTTATTTTTTAAAGAAAATTTTGAAATTTGAGTTTTGTGATAAAAAGATCGAGCCCTTAAAAAATTAGTTGGTGTCTACAAATCATTCTACAATCGCTATTCACAGGTTGCATTAAATGTTTTAGGCAGCAGCTATGACTTATTGGGTTCATTCTTGCCTTAATGCTGCATTACCGTCAAAATGCATCATTAACAGATTGTGCAACACATCCTTTTTATCTTAATGAAGCGTATTGATCGTGACCTCACTTCACAATAAAATTGCACACAACTAACTTTTGAACCTCCTTCCAATTTTTTCCCTACTCTAGTTGCATTTCTTTAAAATTGGACACAATTGTCATTGCAAAATGTGCACGTCGTAGAAAATTTGAGGCCTACAAATAAATTAACTTTGTAGGTGTAGCTCGCTTCCATGGTGTTCGATACTCGATTCCTGGTATGATGGAATCGTTGTTCCGAATTATGTTGGATCCAGGATCTTGGGCATGTGGATGTAGATCCCACTTACTAGGGAACTCGTTCCCAAATAATAAGAATCAAGTTCCCATTACTTCGGGTACAAAATCCAAATACGCAAGGAAGCATCTGGAATCAAGATCCTGTCATTTGGAGCGTAGGATCGAGATTTCGAGTGGAAGCAGACCACAACAGTGGCGCTCCCAATTACTATGTGCCAAACCATTCATCAAATAAAGCCATTAAATCCCCACTACCAACTGTTTATTTGACACAACCTGCATAACACAGATATGCTAGGTATCTTTTCTCTATTTTCGTATCGTAACTGACATTCTTGTACATCCACTCAGCAATAAAGGTATGGAGCATTTTCCAATTCAATCATCATCAGTGAAGCCTTTTTCCAACTAATTGGGGTCGGCTACACGAATCATGGTCCGCCATTTTGCTTTATTAAGGGCCACACCCTCAGTGTGGCCATAAGTCCTCATATCTTTTCTCACTACTTCCAACCATGTCCTTTTGGGCCTACCCCTTTCCATTTTTTAGCCTTCCACTTAAATTAACACGCACTTCCTAAAAGGTATTGTGCTTGGTCTGCACCACACATGGCCAGCCCACTTAAGTCTACTTCTTCTCATCCTATCGCCTATTGGTTCCACACTTAAATTCTCTCGAATGTATGCATTTCAAAATCTATCCCTTCTCGTCTTTCCACTCATCTATCTCAACATCCTCATCTCAGCTACACTAATTCTATTGAGTTGTTGTTTCTTGACTGCTCAACATTCCGCCACATAAAGTAAAGTCGGTCTCACAACTGTCCTATAGAACTTGCTCTTCAACTTCATTAGTATGCGGCAATCATATAAATTTTTAGTCTAACATCCCCACTTTGCTCACCCAGCTCTAATTCTATGTGTGACATCTTCCTCAATCTCTCTATTTTCTTGAATTATCGACCTAAGATATCAAAAGTGCCATCTTTTTTATATTTCTTGAAAGCAGGACTATGGAGCAAGTAAATACCGATTAAATTTTTTTTTTCTTTTCTTTTTTAATTTATGACCCGGATCACTTACAAGTGTCCAAATACAATATAATCCACAAAGAATGCCAACGACTCTCACTTTCCATCAAAATAAAAAAAACTCATACAATAAATAAATCTGAAAAATGACATATCACTTTAAATAAATTCAAGAAAGCAGGAAATAAGACAATACTGCATATCTTGCCTCAGATTATCTCCAAGGACTTTGTACACCCCACACCAGGTTCCTCCACTAATGGCACACAGGATATTGGTCTAGCTTCGTCTCATAACTTGGGAAGTATAGGAAAAACCTCTTGAGAGTATGATATGCGAATAGGGCTTTGACCTAGGCTCAACACAAGCAAAAACAAGCATTTAGGCATGGGCGTGCCGCCCTTAGGATTTTTTAGCTTCTATAAAATCAAAACCCTAACTAATGAGAGAGAAAGATAGAGAGAAAGTAGGTCACGTCTGCCTTAGGATTTTAGAGAGAGAGGCTAAGTCAAGGTGTAAAGAATACGGTGACCATAAAGAGCATATATATAATAGAAGCTAGGGTTTTGGGATCTAGGGTGGTGCCATCATTATAAGACTCATTTTTTACTGTTGATCATGGAACCTATAGGGTAACAAGATATAATCTATTCATTCCTTAGATCAGCCATCATGATTAAAAGGAATGAGGTGGAACTATTATCCCTCAGTTTTCATAACTCCATTCCCATCAAAGATTGTGTAGAGAACATACTATATTTTTGCAAATCAATTTTCAATCAATCTCTATACATGCTTAATTATAATCAAATTCTCTACATAACAATTTCTTTTTATTTTTCAATCAAGAAGGTGGATTTAACACACAAGCCACTAAATAGGAAAGAAGATGAAGTGGGCTGCCCCACAATGGAGAGCCATGTGAGACCCACGCTCCAACAGGTGGGCTCATTTGTGGTGGGCATAAAGTCTCAATGGGCTGCCACACCCTTTATTATATTTTAGAATAACAAAAAGTTTTTTATAAATCTATTAAATATTTTATTTTCCTCTCTAAATTACAAAAATATCGAAAAACGATCTTTCCATATTTAAAATATTTTTTAAATAAAATAAAATATTCAAAGAGGTCTAAAAATTCATTTAATTATCAAAAACATAGCTAAATATGTTAAAGAAGTTTTGATTGGAATTGGATTTAGAGAGTTAGGAATACAACAAATATGCTGAGGACTCCATCCTTTCTAGAAAAGCACATCTCACTACACCTCAAAACTGGCCCAATAGTTCATATAATCCACATGGGTTCATGATTGGACTATCAAAGTCAGCCAATAAATGAAGGAGACATGATCCTAGTTCATAGATTACAAGTCCCACTCTGAGGAAAAGTCCATGTCCCATTCTAGCACGATACCACTTGCGGTCCTTCTAACACAATCCAATATTGTAGGAAGTCATCTCTTCGATACATGTACACAACATACACACTCATTCAAAGGGCTGCTTCCCCGACGGCAATCTAGTGTACATGCCATGAAAGTAATGATGAGGATTTAGGCCCTTGTCCTCTCCATCCAACCGTCACACATAGGGGTCACATCCAATCCCTTGGCCAACAGCCTTGGGCACAACTCCGACTTCATCAAGAAATAACCCCACATCGAAACCCTTATCGCTTGTGCACAAATGGCCAAGGCTACAGGTTTTAGGTATCACCCTGAGCCATAACCAGTCAAAAGATGAGTCTTGGCATTAATGATGCCTCACAGTCCAATCTGGACCACACTCCCATTGGAGTCAACATTTCATTATAAATAGTTTCAACACATGCTCTCATAAGGCCTTTAAATGGCCACATAACCCCACAGTTCTTGGTCGTAAATCTTAACTACTTCCTCGTGTATACTCCAATTATCACTAAACTTGCATTCTATATATTATATCCTAATTCGGCTGATTTTAAAACCTTTAGATTTTAGAGCATCCCTCCAAAGTTCTAACTTTGTGTTGACGCTGTTTTGGGTCTCATCAATCAAAACATGTCATTGCAAACAACAAGGACCATGGTACCTCACATAGTTGTTGGAAACGCCTGAGAACCCGAATCGTTTCAGGAACTAAAATCACGCCTGCCCAGAAGTTTCCCATTGTAGGAATCGTTGTCCGTACAATAAGAATCGTTGGGAACGAGATTCCTAATTTTCAGGAATCGAGTATCGATCGGAATAGGTCCAAGTTTCATATACATATGGAATCGAGATTCCGACCTCGTTGGAATCGAGATTCCCATCCCCCTAGGTTTGACACTCCAAGTGTCAAGTTTCATAAATATGCGGAATCGAGTTTCCGTCATCTATGGAATCGAGTTTCTAACATATGAGGAATCGAGTTTCCGACATATGAGGAATCGAGTTTCCGACATGCGGAATTAAGTTTTCATCATTTATGGAATCGTGATTCTAACATATTTGGAATCGAGTTTCCATCATCTATGGAATCATGTTTCTAACATATTTGGAATCAAATTTCTGAAGTATATGGATAAGAGATCCATGTTGGTTTGAGATCAAGAATTACAATAGCAGAATCAAGTTTCCGACATCACTTGATTCGAGTTTCTGACATATGTGGTACATAGATATGTTGTTGTATAGAATCGTCAGTCCATGTGTGTTGCTTTATATGTTATTAAATGATTTCAATAGTTTATAGGCATTTAAATTGAAGAGAATAAATAAAATTAGCATTATTAATAACCACTTTACATTCGGTATTTCAATACTGAGCAATGTTGCGAGGCTGCACATGGTCTAAGATCACATAACCAGTCGTTTCAGATATCATATGAGCAAGATTAAGAAACCCAGGCAGTTTACATCACCGCAAATATAAGAAACATTATCTTATGGGCATTTAAATAATTTCACATAACATATAAGCAAGATTAAGAAACCAAAGCAGTTTACATCACCGCAAATACAAGGAACATTATTCTATAGGCATTTAAATCAGGAAAAACAGAAAGAAAAAATAACATTACTAATAACCATTTTGCAATCGGTAGTACAATACTAAGCAATTTTGCAAGGCCAGACGTGGTGCAAGTTCACTTAAGCAATTCACATAACTATGAGCAAGAAACTATAGCAGTTTACATTAACGTAAATATAAGAAACATAATAAAGATAACAAAAAAAACAACACAATCTCATTAAATTCTTTCTAAAATACATGCCTTATAAATAATAATACCCCCTTCTAGTACACGTGCTGCCTAATGATATCGCTTGCGACCTTAAAGCATGATACCCACTAGAAAATAAAACATTACTTTTGTGGTTATTATTTACAAGAAACCAATGTTTTATACGGTGTAGATGATTCAAAACCTTAACGAAATGAGTTCCATTACTTATAGAATCGTGTATCATTTCACATAGAATCAAGATTTAAACCTCGATAGAAGCCAAACTCAATTTATTTGGGAGCATCTACCTACAATTAGGGGGTTCTAGTTTCTCTAAATCTGTTGAATCGAGATTCCGAAATTAAGGATTCGAGATTCTAAAACTAAGGAAACGAGTTTCCTTGGTTCCGAAAAATATTTTTAAACGTGTTGAATCAAGATTCCAAAATTAAGGAATCCAGTTTCCTTGGTTCCGAAAATAGGTTTCCACATATGTGAGGAATCGAGATTCCAAAATTAAGGAATCAAGTTTCCTATGTTGCAAAAAAAAGGTTTCTGCCTAGGTACGGAATCAAGATTCCGAAATAAAGGAATCGAGTTTCGTTGGTTCAAAAAAATGGTTTGTGGAGTTTCCTTAACGGAAACGCGAAAATGGCTTTCGAAACTGGAATCGCAGGGTCCGAGGAGAGATTCCGGTAACTATGGTACCTCATCTTGTGGGTGCCTAGTTAAGTTATCTATAACTAAGAAAAAGAGGTATGGGCTCAATGCCGACCTCTAATGTAGGCCTATTGTCACTGACAACCCACTCGTCTCTCCACTAGTTATTCATACACTAGTTAGCGCTCCCTCATACATATCTCTCACCAAGTCGATATAGGGTCTTGAGACTACTTTCTTTTTCAACACTCACCAAATCAAATCTCCAAGTACTCTATCATAAGCTTTGTCTAGATCAATAAAAACCATGTAGAGGTCTTTTTCCTTCGCTCTAAACTTCTCAATCAGTTACCTAAGTAGAAATATAGCCTCGGTTGCTGACCTCCCTGCGAAAAAAACAAATTGGTTTTCTGATACACTTGTTACATGCCTTAGTCGTTGCTCAATCACTCTCTCCCAAAGCTTCATATTGTGGCTCATATGTTCGATCGCTCAATAGTTTGCACAATTTAGTATGTCTCTTTTGTTCTTGTAAATAGGTACCATAGTATTTTTTCTCCATTCGTCTGGTATTTTTTTTGTTCTCAACACCTTGTTGAACAGCATGGTCAGCCAGTCAATGCCAACCTTCCCCGTGCACTTCCAAACCTCTATCGTAATACCATCTAGCTCTAAAGCCCTTCTTATTTTCATCATCTTTAAAACTTTTTTCACTTCCGATACCCTAATCCTACGAATGTATGTATGGCCTCCGCCCTCATTTATACCGACGGTATCTTCTACCGCTATGTTCCCATTGTGCTTGTCATTTAATAAATTTTTAAACTGCACTCTCTACCTTTTGTTGACCTCTCCATCCTTCACAAAGACCCTTTGATCTTCACTAGTAATTTCTAATTCAATATAAATAACAATATAATCGAAAACCTTTTCAGCTGGAAAATTTTTCTTCATTGGTAAAAATCAACGATAAACCACTAATTGCACCATCCTACATCAAGTCAAATTTTACCAATAAGCACTACTAAGTCAAAAGTATATAATGGAACCACTGTTAACTGGGGCATTTAGATCTAAAAAGCATAATCAAGCATTTTATAACAAGAGATTATTTGTAAAGGAAGTGGGTATAAATGTAAAAGGCCACTTAAATCGTAAACATTGACTCTCAAATGATGATAATGAATTATGGCCCAAGTCGAGCATTTGATGAATGGAAGAGAACCTTCCAAAAGAAACCATAGTGATGACTGGACGCCTTTTACACCAGATTTTTGACATTGCAATCACGACAAACTCAAGAAATCATACTAATTTGCACAGGTTTTACTCAAGACTAGATACGATGCCCTTTATTGATGTTTTCTTTGCAAAATTAGCCTCTTTGTTGAATGTACCCAACATAAATGACTAATGTATCAGGTCTCTCCAGCCAAAATCCTCATCATAACTTCATGTCTATATTACAAGGACATGGATACATTTGTCAATTTTTGACACAGATATGCATATCAGAAAAGCCAATTCCTTAATTGACCTTTCATTCATGACATGTTCGTACATTTAAAAGGGGTGGAGGTAGGATTTTAAGTGACACAATAGTTTCATAATGGCAGCCGCCAAATAGTTGGGAAAAGGCTCGAGAGATGATGATTGTACTTTCATAATGACACTTAAGGTTACACAGATGTGCTCAATTTGTTGGACGCAGGTGTCGAGTCCTTATTTGCATCAACACATGCCAAAGAGATTCTATAAAGTAAAAGCTTGCAACAAAGGAAGGATAGTACCTGGAAACTTAATTGATTCATCCGCATGTGTCGCACATCTAGCTAACAAATCCATTTGGTAAAAACAATTTGGGAATTCATTACACCAAACATGTATTGTAGTGAAGATGGTAACAGTTGTCATCTAGATCGACCATATGCACTTGCTATTTCTTCTAATACCAACTTTATCGAGATAGCTCTTTGAAAAAAAAAAAGAGAAACACACCTTATAATCCATAGAAACCGTTGGTAAGGAATCCAGATACAAATGGACAATAGATATAAAAGAAGAAACAAACAAATACAGCTGAAGTACTGGACTTACAGAGTCTCTGCCATTGAGTTCAAAAAAAGCAGTAGGTCCTTTCTCTTTGAGCATGGACTGGATGCTAGTCAATAGCAAGGAATAATGCTTTTGTCTACTAGCAATTTTCTCACTACGAAGGAGGGCAAATATTTTCCGAATGTCCTTTCCCGAAATGCTATGTCCTCCAATAGCTTGGACCAGTTGTGCAATCATAGAAATCATGACATCGTTGTCTTCCATACTAAACCAATCTAGAAGAATGCTTAGCATTCCTGCCCTGAAACATGCTGCCCTATTGATTATGGATTCTTTTAATAGATGATTAAATACATCAAGTCCATATAGCTGCATTTCTTCACTGCTCTGCCAAAATTCCCCATAAAAAAGAAAATTAAAGTAATAACTACGAACAATACAATGCCAAAGCAGTTAAAATTGGAACTGAAGTTGTAGGAAAATGGACCTTCTGCAGCACACTGAAAAATAGTGGAATAGCATCCTCGTTCTGCAGAAAAATGAAATTTGAAAATTCTTAATGACAGGATATGTGCACCAGCCCAAAGATCATGTAGAAAGAGAACTAAAAGAGAGAGAGAGAGAGAGAGAGAGAGAGCAAGAGAGAGAGAGAGCGAGTGTGTGTGTGTGTGTGAGAGAGAGAGAGAGAGAGCGAGTGTGTGTGTGTGTGTGAGAGAGAGAGAGAGAGAGACGAGTGTGTGTGTGTGTGTGTGAGAGAGAGAGAGAGAGA